TGGAAAAGTTTTCTTAGAAAACAAGAAAAGTGAGCACTCAGACTTTTGATGCAGTAACCATAACACAGATAATCTGTATTTGAAGAAGAAAAAACACATTTAATTTGTGCAAGTCTTCCTAAATCTTTGTTTATCCTCAAATTAAAGCTCTTTCAAGGCCACCATTACACATTACTAACTGGAATAAATCGCAAAGTGCCTGTTATAATGGCAACCAATTAGGTAATTTAATAAATACAAAGACTAGCAATGAAAAGTAAAATGGTGAAATTTCTGCATCAGAAATAATGGAACAATCCAATCATAAAACAAAACCATTAAAAATAAGGTAATGGAAGGCTTCAAAAAATAATCACAAAAAGCTATATATTATTTCTGTCTCTTATGTCCTTATTATTAATCTTTTTAGCATATTTTTACTTATATGAAATCATACCTTTCTACTTGAGATCTACCTAAGATTAGTAAATTGTATTTAGGTAATCTACTAATTCAGGGAAAAACTTAGTTCATAAATTATTCTAACAATTTTTTAAAATGTATATGTATAAATAAAGAAATGTGACAGCTCTATAATTCTGTTTGCAACCAGAAATTAAATAACATTTTTAAATACATAGTTCCAAGTTATATCTCTTTGGCAGAATTCCAAAGAATTAAAATTTCCAATTTAGGTTTGCTCAGAACTACAAAGTAAGTTTTCATACCTTGCCACATAATTTTTAAACACTTCTCTCTCTTTTTTTTTAAAGTTTTCTCTATTATTTTCTTTTTTTGCTCAATCCCCACCCCCAGCCAGAGCTGTCTGCATGCTCTCAATATCTGTGAGTCTGTCTCTGTTTTGCTTGGTAGTTCAGTTTGCTCATTAAATTCCACATATGAGTGAAATCATATGCTACTTGTCTTTCTCTGACTGGCATATTTCACTTAGCATAATGTTCTCCAAGTCCATCCAGCTGTCACAAAATGGGAAATGAATGAATAAACAAGGTTTTATGTCAATAAAGATGCAAAGTATTGGCGCCACCTAGTGAAATTTTACTGTTTTTTAACAGATAAACTAATATAGCAACTTCATAAATTTCACATTACTACATCAAAGAATTTCAATAAAAACAATTGTTAAGTGTTTTTGTAAAATAAAGACTTCATTAATGTTAAGGAAGATGTTAAAAAGAATTTTTATTGCCAAAGGCAAGATTTTTCCTGTGAAAAATATTCAAGTTGAATATAAGTTAATATTTGTGTTTCTAACATAAGTTCACAATAGAGTAGAAGCCATAATATACTCAAAAGACGTATTGAAACAACATCGTGTATACAACAGAATTAAGTAGAACTCAAGAAATGATAAATTTTAAAACTCACAACCATTCATTAAAATATTATATTCATAATATTATATATTTTATTTTGTTAGACTATCAGAAAATGCTTAAACCCAAGACACTAGAGTATACTTGTTTAATTCATTTACTGCTTTAAAACTTATTTTTCTAAGGCAACAGAATAAATGGGAGGAAAGAAAAAACTAAGAATTCTTTCTCCAAATTCAAATTTTAAAATTAAACTGCTCATTTTTCAGATCTGTAATCAATTAATTACAAAAGATTAGTAAACATTATGTATCTCACTCCACTAACTATAGGTATACAAAAAGAAACAAAGAGAAAGAAAGATTCTTGTCCTCTAAGAACAACAGTTTAATCGGGGACATAAGTTAAATATATTTGTAAAGATTTCATATACAAGAAATGTTATTAAAATTAGTCATAAGTTCAGACAAAAGAAAATCAAACTTACAGAACTCTTACAAGTCAATAATAAAAAGACAAATAATTCAATTTTAAAATGGGCAAAGGATCTGACTAGACATTTCACTAAAGAAGATATAAATGCCAATAAGTGCATGAAAAGATACTCAACATCATTAGTCTTGAGAAGTGCAAATCAAAACCACAATGATATACCACCTCACACACACGAGGATGGCTATCAAAAAGATAAACTATAGCAAGTATTGCTGAGATGTGGAGAAATTGGAACCTTCAGACTTTGGGCAATCATCATATATAGTACACCTGCCTTGTGAAACAGTTCCACAAAAAATTAAATACAGAGTTATGATATTATCCAGCAATCTCAATCCCAGGTATATACCCAAGAGAAATGAAAATATTTGTCCATAAAAAGACTTGTACACTAAATTTCACAGCAGTATTATTCTTATGCTTTTATTTAGTATATTACTATACTAATTATTATTATTCTTAGCCAAAAGGGTAAACAACCTAAATGTCCATCAAACAATAAATGGATAAACAAAATATGGTATATCCATACAATGAAATATTATTCAGCCATAAAAAGAAATAAAATATTGATATATGCTACAATAAGAAAAACATTATGCCAAGTACAAGAAGCCAGTCACAAAAGGACAAATATTATATGGTTCCACTTATATGAAATATCCAGATAGGCAAATCTACAGAGACAGAAAGTAGATCAGTGATTGCCTAGAGCTGGGATGACTGGGGAGAAATGGGAATGACTGCTATTTGGGATGAGTTAAATAATCTAAATTGATTGTGGTGACAGTTGAATAACTCTTTGAATATACTAAATCATTAAATTGCATACTTTAAATGGATGAATTGTATGATATATGAATATCTCAATAAATCTGATTTTTTTAAAAAGGCAAACTTGTACATTTAAAAAGTGGTGAATTTTGAGGCAAACTAAATAATATGGAGAAAAAACATGTTGAGAAATGAATTTAAAAACAATACATCCCCTCTTCTAGCATGTGTGGTAATTTCTCCCTTATAGGTAGATACAGGAAAGTGAATGTCCTGAATTAGCCAAACCTAGAGAGTTCAAAGAAAGAACTTTATAAAGATAAGAAAACCATGGAGGACAGCCAAACTAGAGTGAGCCAAAAAGAGAAGTATGAAAGAGTCAATACAAACCAGAAATCTGAGTGAGATCCAGGGTAACAATAGAAAGAGCAATGGGCTCTGTATAAAAAAAGAGTATTCTAAAACAGTTTCAAGATACTACTACCTATAACTAATTTTTGTGCACCATCTATTGTAGGAGTCAGTGCATCAGCTGATTTATTGCTTTTATTTATTGTTGACACTATTACAAGATGTCCCCCCTTCCCCCTCCACTTTGCCCACCTCCACCCAGTCCCCACCCCCTCCTTCTAGCCATCACCACACAGTTGCAGAAGAAAAGAAATAATAAGAATTAGAGCAGAAGTCAATGAAATTGAAAATAAGAAATGAATGGAGACAATCAACAAAGCCAAAAGCTTGTTGTTTGAAAAGATCAATAAAATCTATAACTTTCTAGCCAGACAAACTAAGAAAAAAAAAGACATGAATTACTAATATCAGAAGGAGAGGGTACCACTACAGATCCCAGAGACATTAAAACGATAATCAGTTAATACTACAAACAACTCTATGCCCATACATTTGATAAACTAGGCTAAATGGACAAATTCTTTGAAAAATTCAATCTGCCAAACTCACACAAAAAGAAACAGATGATCTCAATAGGCCTATATTTATTAAAGAAATTGAATCAATAATTAATAACCTTCTAAAGCCAGGGCCAGATGGACTCACTGGTGAATTCTACCAAACATTTACAATCTCTTTCAGAGGACGGAAGCAGAATACTTCCTAACTCACTCTATGAGACCAGCATTACCCAATACCAAAACCAGACAAAGACATTACAAGTAAAGAAAACTACAGACCAATATCTCTCATGATTCTAAATTAACAATTTTTATCCTGTTTGAGATTTATAATTGTTGTTCTATGAAAACAATGATACTATATTATTTTGTTACTGTGTTTTTCTAATACTTCTATAAACAATATTTTTAATTGCTAGTTAATAATCAGGAGAAGACCAAGGAAATCAAATGCAGAGAAAATTCTTAATGAAATAGTTGTTAATTTTTCAACTGAAAACCATTTCTCCTTGCTCTAAATGGATCCATTTTTTAAATGTTATCCTATAATCTTCAAGTTTTTTTTAGTATGTTTTGATTGATTTTTTTTTTGAGAGAGAGAGGAAGGCAGAGGAATAGAGAAACAGAAACATTGATGAGAAAGAACCATCCATGGATTGGCTGTGTCCTGCACACCCCCTACTGGGGATCAAGCCCACAACCCAGGCATGTGCCCTGACAGAAATGAATCCCATCTGGTGACCTCTTAGTTTATGGTTTGATGCTCAACCACTGAGCAACACCAGCTGGACTAATCTTCAAGTTTTTAAGTTTAAATATAATAATATACTGAAGAGGAAAAATTTCAGGGTATTATTTGCCTACAAGTTCCAAATGAGTAAACTGAAACATAGCTACAAAAAATGTATTTAACGAACTGTTAGGTTTTATATTAATAAACATACACTATCCAGATCAAGAAAAGTGAAAATCCTACTAGGTACTAATCAGAATACACCAAGAATATTGTGTTAGTTCTAGTATCATATGCTTTTTTAAAAAGAGAGATTCACAAACATAAGAAGATCCCTTGATAACTTCAAAGGAAAATAAGTTATTATGAAGTTAAATGAGAATACATGAAGGTACTTAGAACATTATTTCTTACTATAAAAGATAAAATGAGATCAAAAAGAAGTCATAGGAAAAGAAAGAATAAGTAGGTAGCAGGCAGGTAAATTTAAGTCAGCTTAAAAAGGAAATTGCAAGAAACAGTTGACATTACTGAAACAAACAAACAAACAAAACCCCTAGGGTTGGTGAGGGGTTTTTTTATCACAAGAGGTAGTCAAGCAGAGACAGTGATCACTTGACAGTGATTTTAAGTACAGCTTCTTCTACAATATTCACGGAGTGACAATTAGCATTAAGATCTAATAGTACTTTAACCTTAGTTCATAACTATAATAAGATTCAATAATCTTAAAATCTGGAAAGTAGATGAAATAGTTACTTTTCAACTTACCTTTTTTTCCTCCTGCAATATTATTACTTCATAATATCGTGGGAGATGTAAGCAATAATTTTTTGGTTGATCTTTCTTGATGTTAATATTTTCATAATGGGTTGTCTTTTTCCTTTAAGAAATTAAGAAATTGAGTTCTCAATTTCAAATAGATAAATATTTATATAAGTCAACAGAATATTTTTACACCAACATTTTCTGCTTAAAAAGTATTCAACAGTAAGATTATCTGGGTGTGTTAGGCCAATATATTCTAAATTTTGTAAAATGCATTTATTTATTTGGGTGAGAAGTTCTTAATTTTCCAATTCAGAGCATTATAATAAAACTATTCTAATAATGACTTCAAAAAGAAAATAGGGTGTGGGATTTATGTCATGAGTTTAAATTAAAAGCTACCAAAAAATTTCCTGTGTGTTCTATTTATGATAAAATGTCTTTAAAATTTCAAATCCCTTAGTATTTCCATTAACTAAAATAATGGCGAAAATAGTCCTATGCTATTTATATCACAAAAATATCAAGAAAAGAGCATAAAGGAAGATCTTTGAAAACGAAAGGGAAGCTTATTATCACTGAAATTTACACAACCTCAGGAAAGAATAACAAACTAAGCAAACAGTGATTAAGAGCCCAAGACAGCCTGGTGAGAATCCTAGCATTGTTATTTGCTGGTTGTGTGACCTTACACAGACCACCTAACTTTCCTAAGCATCAGGTTAGATTCCCCACCTAATTGGAAATAGTAGTAAACAATTCTCAAGGTTGTAAGATTAAAGTAAACAACATTATGAAGTGTTTAGTGCCTTACATATCCGTAATAAGTACACAATAACTTAGCTATTATTATTACAAGTATTGTAGGCTATACTAATTATACTACTATTTTTTTCTATTTCTTAAACAAAATTTTTTAAAAATCTCATATGAGTTATTTCCAATGAACTATCCAGAACATAAGCAGATTAAAAAGCAGATAATAGAAAATATAAAAATAAATATTTAAGTTATATAATCACAATAATTTGGCATTGCTATAATTTAAATATGCATTTAACATATCAGTTCACTGTTCAATTTTGATTTGACTGATTTTTTTACACAAAATTTAATAAATGAACTTGTTTTCCAAACCTCAAATAGTTTTATAGATAACAAACTTATATTTGAGGTATCAAAAGAGTCACATATCATTTAGGGTCTGTCTTTCCCAAACAACGACCTGTAAGCTCATCTTTTCACTTACAGTGGCCAAGCATCTCCATTTTATACTGTATCAAATCTCCCAGAATAATTCTAATTTGACCCAACAAAACAAAAGTCAAAAAGAAAAAGTGTAAAAAAAATTTCAGCTGCCAGAAGGAACCAAGACAGCTCCATAAAAAATATACAGTGAAGATAGCAAAACCAAAGAACAGACAATTAAAGAAATGGTAATAACTATAGTCTGGAATACAATCAGTACAGATAAATTCCTAGAAGCAAAAGTAAAAATACTTATAGAAGAAGAGAACAGGGGAAATAACAAAGATCAAAGGAAAAGTAACATTAAAAAATAGGAGGAAAATGGAAGTGGGATAAGGTTGAAGGAGTAAAAAGAGCTGTTATAAAAATACCACCACATAAAATCAGAGCCACATGACCAGAGAGAGTCCTGGTTATGTCTGATACTTAGTCAGAAGTACAGTGGAATGAATGGAAAACAATCGTCATAAAACTACATACCTGCAAAAAGGTTAATTTTGCTTTATGTCAATTAAACCTCAGTAAAAGTGGCAGGCAGACAGGCAGGCAGATTAAAGAGATAGAAACCAAGCAAACTGGAAGAAGATGAGGATAAGATTAGGATACTAAATAACGAAAGCACATGTCAAGGGAATGAGCAGAGTTAAAGCATTGGATAGACTTTCTTTTTTTTTTGGAAGAATGACAAAGATATTAAGTTTGGACCCCATTAGGCTAAATATACATGTTAAAGTTCTAGTGTAACTACTAAAAGAATAAAATTACAAAGTGTAGTCCTAGCTGATTTGGCTCAGTGGTTAAGCATCGCCTGTGGACTGAAAGGTCTCAAGTTCAATTTTAAAATTAAAAAAAAAAAATACAAAGTATATATCTCATATTAGGAGAATGAACAGTGAAAAGGACAATAGAGTATAAATTCCCCAAAACAACGACCATGTTTTATTCTTTTCATTCTCAGTTACTAAGTTTAATACTAGCACTTAGCAAGATTTCAAACAATATTTGTTCAATGAAGAAACAGTAGCTGGGGTATCCAACAAGAGCCTAAGCTGTATCTACCACCGGCATATAGATGTCTCTGAGTAGATCTAGCAAACCAACTGGATAGGTAATCACTGTGGGACTTCTTGCAAGAAAACTCATTCTATGAGAGAGAAAGAATCACACAGATAACCAGAATCCTGTTAAAAAAATAATAATGATGGGGGGAAAGGTAGATTCTGCCCTAGCCAGTTGGCTTAGTGGTTAGAGTGTCGGCCTGCAGACAGGAGGGTCCTGGGTCCAATTCCGGCCAAGGGCAGTACTTCAGTTGCAGGCTCAACCCCAGCCCTGGTCGGGGTGGGTGCAAAAGGCAACCAATTGATGTCTCTCTCGCATCAATGTCTCTCTCTCTCCCCCCCCTCCACTCTCTGTGAAAAGCAACGGAAAAAAGATATCTATATATCCCCTTGGTTGAAGATATTTAATTGGTTGAGGATTAAAAAAAAAAGAAGAATGGTAGATTCTGAGGACAATATGGTATTTGTTACTCAATTTTGTCTTCCACAGACTCTTGTCTAAGGCCTTACTATAAAAGTAGGAGAAAATAAAAACAGAGCTATTTTACTAGAAATTTATTTCCTAGTTAAATTTCATTATTATTACCTCCAACCTACCGTGATGGCACTGATCCACACTGAGAGTGCCTTCTAAATCTATGTGGTGAAGAATAACCAGGGCCAGGGACAAAATGAAGAATCCCCGGTCAATTTCTTTTATATTTTCTCTGATCTTTTGTCGGTTTATAATTAAAGACAGTACATTTTAGCACTTAAGATACATGAGCTATATAATTAAACAGGCCTTAGTTAAAGTCTAGCTCTGCCACTTAATAGCTACATGATCTTGAATATGTTATTTATTCTCTTCAACCCATGCATCACAATAGTAACTACAGGAAGACGGGTAAAGATTAAATGAGGGAATATATGTAAGTCGGGGTAGCACAGGATCAGGCTCACAAAAAGCAATCATTTTCATATAGGTTATTCCAAAATATAATACTTCTTGGAGTTTTTATACTGGTTTTTCCTTTATAACAAACAGCATAGGCAAGTCTAAATTATTAGGATATAGTAAAAAACTATATTAAAGATATACTTTTTTCTACTTACTGGGCTATATCATACTGTCCAGGACCAGGCCCTGACTTTATAGGTAACTGTAGTCTTCCCAAAGATTTGCCAAAATGTATTCCCTTGTATTTTAAAGTTGCACTGGAAAAATCCTATTAAAACAAAAAGTCAAGATGAGATATAGTTTAAATAAGTCATGAAATAAATTTTAACTGTTAAGTCTAAAGCTAAAGCAAGGGTAACCTTGGTCAAGGGGGTTTCATGGATAAATGCTAGGTCTGAAGGTAAGTTATTACTGCTGTGTTCATTGCACACCTGAGTCAGCCAGGAATCCTAAAGAAATGCCTCTAGTTCTAGCATGTCCTCAGCCAGTAAGAACGGCTTTGCTCTTGGCAGTACATTTAGCAACCTAAAACCTTAAGGGCAAAGAAAATGAGTTCCTTGTCGTTTAAAAAAGGGAGGGAGGGCAGAATTGTATGACTTAAAGAATGGAAAAGTCTATTAAAAATGACCTTAATTAAATAGAAACTATATTCCTTTCAAGAAATTAAATTAAAATTCAAACATCACCAACAGATATTAAATAACTTCTAATTACCTGGTATTTAAAACTATAATATATTCATATAAAGTTTTCAAAGAGTAACAAATATGTGACAATAAATTAAACACCACCCCCATTTCATTTTATTATTAATGCTGAGGTCAAGATCAATCTTTTAACACCAAAGAAATTATTTGTGACATAAGAAATCAATAATCACCTTTCCTTTATATGCACTATAATAGATATTAAAATTAAGTATGACCCATAAAAAGTTCACTTTAGAGAAGTTAAAGCATGTGGTTTCAATAAAAACTAATAAAATAACAAAGTATAATATAAGAACAGTGGCTTCTCTTACAACAATTCTCTTCTGTTGACCTCGTACTCTCTAAATTGAGCAATCATTTAAGAATATTTTAAAAATTCGTTTTAACTGATGGTGAAAGGTGAATTCTAGCCTATTTATCTTAAATTCACATTTATAAAAATCAGTTTAAAATGAGCTTGAATTATTAAAGTAATTGATATATATGATATTGAATAAAATCCCCATAACATAAACTGATAGTTTAACTGCATAAAATAGTGCATCAGTAGTTCTAGGTGACTATTACTATTCTAGAACAATAGACCCAATCTCTCTCTATTACCATTATAAATAATAATAGCAATATTTGATTAAAAAAATGATAAGTCGTTTTAAATGATTATTCAAACCTGTATTTGCCCCACTCCCACAAAATTTCAAAAGAAGTATATAAAGCAGACACAAATTATCAGTGCTAAAACTAAAAGAAGGTATCATTCACATTCCAAAATCCTGAGAAATTTCTGAAAAACATAGCACAGCAGAGACTAGAACCAGAAAAAACCTTACTACATGTGAAAAGAACATCAGCTGAACCCTCTTAATGTCCCCAGAAAGACAAAAACTGCAAATAAGGATGGACTTTGGGGTATTGAGTAGGCAGCAATTCCCAAAACTACTAATACCTTTGGAGATGTACACCAGTGTCATTACATGAAGTGATGAAAGAGTGCTATCACCCACTCTATTCCTGGTACGGATGGTTGGACATATATTGAAGCACTGCCATTAGCCCCTAATAAACACAGACTTTCTAGTTAGGAAGGTATCATTCCGGAAAGCTTCGGAACGCCACAACAAAATCCAAAATGAAACTGGCACAGCACTAAAATTTCCTACTATGTGTTCCTAGAACACACCACTAACAACTAGCCCTCAGATGTCATAAAATGCAAACACAATAAAACTAAACTTTCCCTCTATACCCTCCTGATCTTAAAGAATTAAACAGGGGTCAACACAATNAAGAATTCAACAGGGGTCAACACAATCAGAACTTTGATGTTTGCATGAAGTGAAATGGGACCTTGCTGATTCTTTTTTCATAGCTGCAATCTCACAGAGAAATGGAATTATAGTTTTTCTAAAGGTTTCCCCTGCTTTGATTTTAATAAATCCCCTTGCTTGTTCCTTGCTTAGGGTGATGGAGGATGTTTGAGCTGAGAAACGAGTGTTACCAGCTATGTCCAAGTAAGATTCAGACATGTTTCAGAATGTCTGGTGAACAAATAGAGCAAACCAACCAGAAGGTGAATGTGAAAATTAATCCTATGGGAAGCAGCTAATCATGACCCTCCCCTAGTAAGAAAATCTTAGTGTCAAGAGTGGCAATGCTAAATACTGAGTATTTTTTGTTGGATGAATTTGCCTCCTATTGGACAGTCCCCACTAGATTTATGCCTGTGTCCTATAGAGTGCAAAGGGGCTATGATAAAAATCTAAAGGACCTGTTTCATAAAAACACCAGTAAATATCAGTGCTACTTACAGACCACTCTAATAGAAAATGACACAAAGAAAGAACAGCATTACCCCTCCAACTTTCCCCAGCTCAGCACACAGCTTTAGTTGTGATCAAGTGCATTGGTGGAAATGCCCAGCAGAGAGCCCCATCTGGAAAAAGACTGACATGTCTGGTGGAGCAGTAGCTGTCTCAGCGGAAACAGACTTGTTCAGGAGCATTGCTGAGAGAGCCTCTGATGCCTTCTATAAACACCTGGAAAGGGGGAACTTTGCAGAAGGCTAGAGGTTATCTACATCAATAGGAGACAACATACATATATGAGTTACTAACATAACTTTGACTCTCTTTATACCACAATCTAATGAAGCTTGGGAAAACCTGTTACATAAATAGAAAGAATGAGTTCTTATTTTCACTAGGAATATTCCCAGCACTGTAAGTGGTCTCAGTGTGCTTAGATTATGGATATGCAGATCCCTTCCAATGAATTGTAACCCAAAGAGCAGAAAGGTATTTTCCTCTCTTCACTACAGACATTTAGCTTTAACACACTATGAAGCTACAACACTGTAAAGCACTATTAGTAGTAGTAGTGTTATTAGTAGCACTATTAGCAGTAGCAGCATTATTACTATTATAAGTAGGTTGTCCAGTGAATAGCATGATTCCCAGCCCAGACCCTTGTCAGTCCTAGAAGGAACAGAGCTATGAATAAAACTTGAGCTATCCCACCAATCTCTATAACACATAGCGTATATACTGCTTTGACCCTCCTGAGTATAACACAAAAGGAAATAAGGCAGTCAGATCATCCAAAGGCTTTGGGTCTGGAGTGCAGAGACAAAAGCTGTAACACCTAGCAGAGCAGCGTAGAAAAAACTGCACAACCTGACATGTCCAAGAGAGCAGCAGATGGTAGTAGAGAGGTACTGGAAGAAACCATGGCATCCACTAGAGTAGCTGAAAAGCAGCCTGATCCTTTGGTTCAGTGACAACTCCAATGTTGGCTGCACCTTACAGAGCTTCAGGAAAAGAATGTTGAGCCACACAATACTTTCTTTTGTTAAAGTAAATGCACTAGACCATCCTTCAAATGGAATTACCATTTGAAATAGGCATGAATTTTAAAGTACACATACATTTTTGATGGTAGAAAGAGCAAAATTTCTCATTTGTGTTGTATTTTATTTTTACTTAGAAATAAAGCAGAATTTCATAATTGTGCAGATTTGTGCAGATCTGCATAATTGTGCAGATTTTAGGCATAATCACTAGTAAAGTACACAAATGTAGAACTCTAATATTATATAGCTGTGTTAAATATATTTGATATTTGATATATTTCAAGCAGAAGCATATCTAATATATTGATTTACTAAAGCCTATATATTTCTTTAAAAAAACAATACTTTAAAACAGAGTGGTTTTTTTTGGTTTTTTGGTGGGATTCATTGTTGCTGTTGTTTTTTAATCCTCACCTGAGGATATTTTTCCCATTGCTTTTCAGAGGGAGTGGAAGGGGGAGAGAGAGAGAAACATCGATGTGAGAGAAACACATCGATTGGTTGCCTCCCACTCGAGCCCCAACCAGGGCAGGGATCGAGCCTGCAACCCAGATACATGCCCTTGACCAGAACTGAACCCAAGATCCTTCAGCCTGAGGTCCGACACTTTAACCACTGAGCCAAACTGGCGAGGGCCTAAAACAGAGTGTTTTAATAAATCATCTTTTACATCATATTTTTATAGCCTAAAAAAATACAAGTGAAGGTTTTATATTAATTCTTTTAACACAGCACTTCAGGACCTTGAGCAAAATAATGCCCAAGAAGCTTTCTTCAGGTTAATTCATGTTATTGTGATTTTGTGGTTCAACTGTTAACAATTTTTAAGGTAATCCAATAGAAGGAAAGATTATGCATACATATACACACACACCATTCAAGATGTTAGCAGATTCCTTTTCCTGTGTATACACTAAAATTTGTTTTACTTAAGCCATGAGAAAGGACAAGCACTTAACTCACTAACCTCTGCAGTACTCAGGTAAATGTTCTATCTAAAATGTAATTCAAAAGCCTTTTTAAAATATAGGCAGAAAATGAAAAATAAATTGATGCACTCTTAACTCTAAATCATACTCTCTTTATGTCAAGAAGTGTTGACAATACCAACTTCAAGGTCATTGTCAACTTGGAAAATCATTAGCAAACAAAATATGAGTTAATTGAAGCAAACTCAGCATGGAGCTGCATTATTTTAAGTGAATGTTGTAACATAACTTGAAGAAGAATTACTAACTGTCACTCCCAATGACAATGAAACAAATGAAGAAGTGGCTATGCAACTTTTCCCCCAAGTCGTTTCCATAATTAAGTATGGAAATAGAATTTATGAAGAATTGAAAGTCTCAAAGTGCATCAATTTAAACACTAATGGACTGCTTTCCAGTGTCTCAGAACACAGGTAGTTCCCAGCATGTTACCATTAGCAAATATGTCAGTGTCATAATTCCAACTGCAAACTGCTTGTGAAATCCACCTCTGAAAGCTAAATTTCTAATGATTACTTAGGCTCTTTTAAAAAAAGAGAGAGAGATACACAACCCAAGGACACAGACAATGGTGTGGAGAGGGACTGGGGAGGGGTGGAATGTGTCACTGGGGAGAAAAAGGGACATTTTATTTTAAACAAAAATAAACACATACCAAAAAAAAGAGAGAGAACATAGATTTTATCATTCAAAATATTATACAAAACAATTTTTATATATAATTTCTCTTTACATATTAAATACAGCTAAAACATCATTTACTGGCTAGAGTCTTATACAACTCTAAATTTCAGAGTTGCTTATATATTTAACCTATAGAAGATACCTTCAGCAGGGGTTATTCGCCTGTCCAGGGAAGAACCATTATAATTACCCATGTATTTGATTATTTTCTTAATTTTCTATTAATATCTATGTCTGGAAACTGAGTCCACATATAGTATTATCTCAAAAAGCAGCTAAAGAATGGTATTATAAGAAATTTGGATAAGATTTGAATTAACATTACTATACTATCAGCTTCATAGTAGTCTGTGAGATACCTGCGGTGTGTGTTTTTTCTGCAAGAAAAAAAAATAAAGCCTTCAGCTACTGAGCTTTACCACCTTATCTCTAGTGCTCTCAAATTCAAGATGGAGATTTCAGGAAATGTCACAATTCAATTCAAATTAAACTTTATTGAATCTTCTTAAATATTATTAAGAACTTCACCTTTAATTCATATGTAAATCTATGTTTTTACGTAATATGTTTTCTTAAAACAGATACAGATTTTTATTCTAATAAATACAAGTTGTATTGACTCAATAATTATCAAAGTAAGTCATCAAATAAATTGGACTTATTAAAATTGTGGGATAAATTTTATTTTGGTCTACTAATAATAATTTAGCCAGAATGAAATCAAATATTATGTGTCAAACTAATGTTTATCCATATGTGAAAAGGTTTTGGTTTCATTTTTTTAATTTTTTCATTGATTTTTATTTACGTATGCATTCATTCACTTATTTATTTATCTATTTACTTATTCATTTATTTTTGCTCCTCACTTGAGGATATTTCTTCCATTGCTTTTCAGAGAGAGTGGAAGGGAGAGAGAGAGAGAGAAACACCGATGTGAGAGAGACGTATCAACTGGCTGCCTCCCGCATGTGCCCTGAATGACAGGGCCAAGCCTGCAACTGAGGTAGGTGCCCTTGGCTGGGATCAAACCCAGGAGTACATGGACCATCACTCTAAAAACTGAGCCAAACTGGCTAGGGATTTTTTTATTGAATTTTAGAGAGAGAGGGAGAGAGAAAGAGAAAGAAACCGATCTCCTGCATACCCTGTACCAGGGATTGAGCCTGCAACCCAGGCATGTGCCCTGGCTGGGAATCGCACTGGCAACCTTTCGGTGCACAGGATGACGCCCAGCCAACTGAGCCACAATGGTCAGGGCTGGGAAAAGGTTTTGTACATTTGGGGAAGCTTGGAGGCATTATTATGGCCTTCTAATAAATGACATATTATTCAAAACTAAATAGTATAAATAAAAATATAATTTTAAAGAATAACATTTTGAGATATAAGTTAACAGCGATGAGGGAATTGTTTAACATTATTTTTGTTGTTGTTGTTCCTTGTATGTCTCATCATTTTTATTGAATACTGAACATTTTAAATGATAGAGTGTGGCAACTCTGGAAATCAGAACCTCCCTCACCCCAAGAGATTTTGTTGGTTCGTTTGTTTAGTGATTTTCCTGGACTAATTCTTTAAATTCTGTATTCGTCATGCATGTCCACTGAAGTCTCAGACTAGTTAGCTGAGTAGTCAGGTAATGGATGGAGAGAGGTTTCCTTGGATGCCTTGAACCAATAAATCCCCAACCTTTGCAGAGGTGCTCTGTGCATGTGTTGAGGCACACCTGCAACACTGAAGTAGGCACTTTAAAGTTTGCTTAGCCTTCACTTCCTGCTTGTGTACAGCCCCAAGGTCACATAGAGCTTTGTGCTTTAAGTCTGTTTTTTGCAGTGATGGGTTAGCAATCCTATAACTACTTTCAGAGTTTTATAGGGTTAAGCAAATAAGCAAATATATTGAGAAAAAACGGAGCCAGGTTTCTCACTGTGGGAAAAGGTAGTTAAAATATGGAAAAGGAAAGACTAGAATAAAACTGTGGAGCTGGACTGGAATTGAAGGTATCAGTATAAACTCCAATTTTTAACAGACAGAGAAGAAATAAGTATATATTTCTGACTTTGTCCACTGAGGCGGCCTAAAAGCAATGACAAACCAGTAGCAATGCATGTATCTGGTGCACTGATCTTGTTTGGAAATATTTTCCTCTAAATGGAAGTAGGGCTTCTTGAAGGAATGGCTGATTCCAAGGCTGAGACGGGAAAAAATGAGGTGAACCTGAAATGTCTTATTGTGCCAGAAGGTGAGGAAATGCTCAAAGAATGATGGAACTATGCTAAAAAAGACACAAGCAGCAGTTTGAAAGGCCTCCCAAGGGTCAAATCTGAGGTAATTTAACCTCAAAATAAATAACGAGTAATAAAGTATAAAACTCTGAGTAAAACAGGAATTCTGAATCCATACTGATATAAAAACATAAATGAGAAAGAAGATAAAGTTCTTCTTTATAGTAAAATGGCAACAAATAAATGTGAAAAAGTTCGAAAATCACCATTTGATAAACATCACAGTTAAACTGATACAAGCATCATCAATAGATGTTAAACTAATGAGTTTGATAAAGAATAGAATATCTATTTATACTTAAAGTAACTTCCCTAAAATATTTATAAATTTTGAAAAATAGTAACTTTACATTAAATAAAACTGGAAGACATCACTTCAAGTTAACTTCACCAATTACAGGATAAATTACAACCTGTGCTTTTTTATGTCATGCACTGAGAAGGATACATTGCTCTGTAGTATTCCTGCCAAAATATACAAACTAATTCTAATCACAAGAAAATACACACAACCCCAAAATTGAGACTTAGTCTACAAAATAAATAGCCTGTACTCTTCAAAAATTCAAGGTAATAGAAGACAAAGAAAGACTGAAGAACGGTTACAAATTAAGACTCTAAAGGGACATGACAAAGAGTGCATTATGTAATACCAGACTGACCTCTGGACCAAAAAAAATTTTAAGACCATTGAGGTAATTAGCAATATTTTCAAAAGATCTATAAATTAGATAATGGTATTATATGAATGAAAATATCCTGATTTTGATCATTGTATTCTGGTTATAAAAGAGAATGTCTTATTCTTGGGAAATTTACATTGAAGTATTTAGGGGTGAAGGAACATCATGTCTTAAACATACTCTCTAATTTCTTAATAAAAATAATAATATAAACGTATAGGGAGAAAAAATGATACAGCAAATGTGATAAAGTATTAACTGCAGGGTCTGAGTGAATGACATATAAGAATTCTTTGTATTGTTCTTGTAATTTTTCTCTCAGTCTAAAACTATCACAAAATATAAATTAATTTTTAAAAAACTTACTACAAACTGGAAACAATGAATGAATTAGATCTAATATATATATANNNTAATATATATATATATATATATATATATATATATATATATGGTTAAATCTAGAAAATGTAACATTAAGTGAAACAGTAAGCTACCTACATACCAGATGATACCATTTACTTATATTTTCTAAACCATACAACTATATATATATGTATGTATATATACACATACATATATATACACATATGTATGTATGTAACATTTAGTGTTTAACAAAAGGAGAAGAGCCCAGCCAGGCGTGGCTCAGCAGTTGAGCATCGACCTAGGATCCAGGCGATCAGGGTTCGATTCCCAGTCAGGGCATATGCCCGGGTTGCAGGCTGCAACCGATCAATGACTCTCTTATCATTGATGTTTCTATCTCTCTCTCTCCCTCTCCCTTCCTCTCTCTGAAATCAATAAAGATATATTTAAAAAAAAAAAAAAAGAGAAGAATGAAGGGAGGAATACTGGGTATGGTAATAATTGTACTACTATATTTATTTTTAAAATCTAATTCAAGTATGACAAAATTTTATGTGTTATATATGATGGAGTGTACATGGGTATCTGTTATGTTTGTACTATTAAATATGTAATTATATAAACTACACTAAAAATATTTTAAGAAAAAACTCTTAACAATTCAAAGGATCTAAGACTCCAAAATGCCTTGGTGTAACTATTGCCACAAAACAAATGGTTTCTGAGGGTGCTTCAGCCTAAGCCCAAAGTTGGAGGCATAAACAAACAAAAAACTACTGCAAGTGAAGGTCAAGCCAAATCCTGAGAGTACCTATTCTCTGCCCAAGTTGTCTCCTCAACCTCTCCTTAAATTTATGCTTAACTTTTGCCATTTTCCTCACTAAGATTACTTCTTCTAGATCTCATAAAAGTATGAAAATACAACAGATTTAAAGCATCATATATTTTAGTCTTACTAATTAAGTAAAAACTAGACATATCATCCATCTATATTTACTACCTGTATCATGGATAATGCATACATTTCAACTGGATGAATGAAATCTTTCTTTAACTCTGGCAAATAACTTTGGTATTTTAATAACAGAAGTTCCTTATGTTTTTTATAATCATTTATGAAATAAATAATATACTATCAGATTCAAATTCCTTTACAAATAAAATGTGTTCTTCTTCACTTTCAAATTCAGGAAGAATACCTATGTATTGCCTATGATTATACATTATAACAGAGACTTCTAGTAGGTTAAACCTATTTCCTCTTCTTCCTAGATAGAGTAAGACTCTATGTCCCAGCCTCCTTGGCAGTTAAGTGTGTCCATGTGACATAACTTCAACTCATCAGACCTGGCCTACAAAAACCTCCCACTAGCAGTCCTCCATCCTCATTTGCCTTCTGCCAGCTGGATGGAGAGGACAACAAGGCCTCAGGGGAAGACAATAACACAAATGGAATATGCCTGTGTCCCTGAATCTCTACATGGAGGAAAATCTCTTAACAAGCGTTGCCCATATGATTGAGGGGGGAAAAATTTCTGTTGTATTAAGCCACTAAGATTTGGGGGTCTATTTGTTACTTCAGTTAACTAAAGATGTATAATCATAAATAATTTTCCAATTGCCTTATACTTACAAATTGAGGTTTATAGTATGCTGGACCCAGTGTGCTATCATTAGCAGGTGGAGAATGTTTTCTAATACTGTCATCATCATTAATATGATACCCATATGACTGTCCATAAGAAGGAATTGAAGGAACAGCAATTCTGAAAACTGCAGGTGACCTTGAAGTTTTCTGTAAGAAAACATTTTATATTATTTACTCAAAGGCAAGAGAAAGAGAGGAGAAGAAATGAAGAACCAAATATTAAAATTTACCAAACGGCAATAATTAAATATTGACTTAGTGAGTTTTATAATATAAACCAAAAATGTTTGTTCTATAAAAGTAATTTAAGGGAATGAATTCAAGTCTCACCTTACCGTATAAACCACAATGATATATACTATTACTATTAAAGCCACCTTCAGAGAAAAGGAGTCCCTCTCTTTTTCACTTGGCTCATTTATCTTCCTTAGTAAAGTAAGTAGTAAAAACAGTCATTCATTCCTATAGTTACAGTAACAATCAACATTACTTGCACTATGCTATCATGGTATCTGCTATGCAAAATCAAACTTAATATTTTCTGTAATATTTCCTGATTTCATTCCTTCCCAACTCCTGATTTATCTCCATATTACTGATGCCCTTTATAAATAGCCTAACTATGCAGACTGTGTAGCAAGAAAAATGTCTATGACATAATGCTAAATGAAAATAAAAAATATAAAATTGAATTTATGACTACAGCTATATAAATTACATGAAATTTTATCTAAGTGTATAAAGTCATATACATACATGATTTAATACTGAAAGGAGCTATGCAAAAATTAACTGAATATCAATGTTAGAGTCAGGCATTTTAGGATGATTATCCTTTTTACAAAATTTTCTTTAATGAAAAATATTTTCTAATTTAAATAAAAACAGGAAGGAGTATCATACATTAAAAATACTAGTATAAAATATATCAAAATACAGACACTTAAATGATTTAATTATCTGGAAATTTCTTATTAAGAATATATTGATCCTTTATAGTTTCTAAATACACACATACATACATACATAATAGATTTTATACTTGGTGCACACATGCCCAATATATAATTATGTTATAAAAATACTATGACTGGCTGAAATTTTATCATTAGAGACAACTATTAAGCAGTTTCAGTGATACTTAAAGAGACTGATTACCAAATAAAAACAGGAAAGTACTGAATGGCTTCCCTCTACTCAATACTTTCAAAAATTATTTGCATGATATCAAGACTTTCCAAAATACAGCCCCTACCTCCTCTCCAGCTTCTATTTCTGCTACTCTCCCTTAGATCCTGTACTCCAAGTATTCCAAAGAACTTTGTTCTTCTCTGAACATACCATGCCGTTAAATACCACAAAGTCTTTATTCATGTGGTTTTCTCTGCCAGAGTGTTTTTTTACAATTCTTTTTAACTACTTAGTGACTCCTTCAAGATGCAGTTCCACTGTGATATCCCTATTCCCTCCAAAAGCTCTCTTCTTTGGGCTGCTAGTAAACATTTTATGATGATATTTGTTTATTAAATATCATTTCATCAACTTTTTTTGTACTGAATTCATTCATTACTTTCCTATTAAAATTATAGATCCCAGAGAGCAGTGATTTGTCTTCTATATATTATCAGTGCCTGGCATTATGTCCAATACTAATAGTCACTCAAAAAATGTCTGATAAACCTTTGTATGAGTAAATAAACATTTACATGTCCCCTCACATGAAACAGAGGATATTTAAATACACTTATAAAACTTAACCTCATTGTCATTGCACTGACATTATTCAACTGAGTACAGAAACCTAAAATATATCCCCTAAACAAAAGATAACTAATTCAAATTTAATTAATATGAGCTATGTGAAGAAGTTATGGCAAGAGAAGAAGGAAACATTCAAAAGAAACCATGACCAAAATCTGCTGGATTATATTATTTATTTCAAAGGGGTAGGCCTTCGGTATAAAAATTATTCATTTATATAACAGTGACATACCTTTTCATACATATTACCTGCTAGTCCCCTACAAAAATTCTTCATTCCAATCAAATTATCTTCTCATTGTCTTCCATAAGATCCTACTTCTCTATCTTCACTCACTTAGCTCTCCATGCCTAAATGCATATTCTTCAAAGCCAACCTCCTCTATAAATCCTCTATAAACTATATTTCCCCATAATACAGTAGTCCTCCTTTAAATTCCTATGACACTTAATTACAAGGTCATTCACTTAGCACCTGTGCACATTTCATCTTGCATTAACAGCTCCCTATATATCTCTCCCATTTAAATGTTAAGCTCTTCTATTTCAGGAATCATGTGTTAAATTTCATTGATTTTATTAACTACTTGAACAGAGTTTCATATGTAAACATATATACAGGTAAACAAACCATTCAGGTGGTTTCTAAAATCTCCCTTACTTTCTATTCACCACAGATATTGGAAATGACTATAGATTTATCAAGAGAAAAAAAGAAGTCAGATGGCAATACAGTTAAAAACTCAAGTATATAAAATCAAGTATTCATTTAACTATAAATAACTATAATATGGATACAAATAAACCTACTAATTTTTATAGTAAGGCTTTTTAAATGTACTTAACATCACAGAAAACACTGAAACTTTTCTACTTTAACTAAAAGAAATGTCATTAGAAGCATACTTTAAAATTGCAACCTACTAATTGAAGATTCTCTTTAGCCTCTAGTACTTTTCTCTTCACAGTATCTAAGGTTCTAGGACAAGATAGATCATAGCTTGCTGGTCCTGGACTATCAGAAATAAACTTCTTAAAACGTTTCTCCCGGTTTTGTAGACTATGGCCTCCTTTTACATTACACTAAATTGAAGAGAAAAAATAAGAAATAATTAGAAGAAGCACTTTATAGTTAATACTTATTTGATAAATATGTATTAATATGAACAAACAGTTTTGAAACCCAATGCTCTTGATTGAAAACATAGTTCTAGTAAAAGAGGTAAGAGAAAATTACAATGATAGTTGTCAGTTTTAACTCCGAACTCAAACTAAAATTTACTGTACTTGGAACACTCTAAGAAAATGCAAAACTCAGTTTTAGAATAGGAATCAATACATCCTAAGAATCCTGAAACACTAATCAGAAAGAATATATGCGCCCCTATGTTCATAGCAGCGCAATTTACAATAGCTGAGATCTGGAAACAGCCCAAGTGCCCATCAGTAGATGAGTGGATAAGAAAGCTGTGGGACATTTACACCATGAAATACTATGCAGCTGTAAAGAAGAAGGATCTCATACCCTTGGAGCATGAGACAGCATGGATGGCCCTGGAGAATATTACGCTAAGTGAAATAAACCAGGCAGAGAATGACAAAATCACATGATCTCACTTATATGTGGAATCTAAAGAACTTAATAAACTGATGAACAGAAATGATTCAATGACATGAAAGCATGGATCAGACTGACGAATCTCAGAGGGATGGAGGAGGGTGGGTAGGTGGAGGGGGAGAGAGTAACCAAAGAATTTATATGCATATATGCACAACCCAAGGACATGGACAATGGTGGGGAGAGGGACTGGGGAGGGGGA